TCATCAGTCACTTGATATCGGGGTTTTACCAAACGACTGGAAAATTGTGAAAGTAATTCCTCTCCACAAGGCTGGTGACAAGCACTCCCCATAGAACTACAGGCCTATCTCACTAACCAGCATTCCTTGTAAAGTCTTCAAGCACACCATATACACGCACTTTGTTAACTTCCTTGAATCTAACTCCTTCTTCACCTCAGCTCAACATGGGTTCAGGAGAATGTTCTCATGTGAAGCACAGCTACTTTCCATTACTAATAATTTTCATGTTGCTTTTGATCAGAAATCTCAGGTGGACTGCATATTTCTCGATTTTCAAAAGTTTTCGATAAGGTATCCCATAGACTTCTACTCCATAAATTAAGCAAACTTAAGATCGACCCTAACGTGTTTAATTGGCTGATAGCATTCTTAACGAATCATTCACAATTTGTAGCCTGTGTTAACTCTACCCTCACATCTGTTTCTTCTGGAGTACCTCAAGGGTCTGTTTTAGGTCCATTACTTTTCCTGATTTACATTAACGACCTGCCCAATGTTGTATCCTCCTCTGTAAAACTATTTGCTGACGATTGTGCCATCTACCGTATAATATCTAATGACTCGGATTCCCGACATTTACAGCATGATTTGGATTCTATTTTGAAATGGTGCGAGCTTTGGTCAATGGAACTTAAGATTAAAAAATGTAAATTAATGCGCGTAACCCGTGAAGTTTTTTTTCCTACTACTTACAAACTGAATAACATACCATTAGAACCTGTTGACTCTTACAAGCATCTGGGTGTAATCCATAGCTCTGATCTTTCCTGGAATCTGCATGCTACTTACGTGACTAATAACGCTAACCGCATGCTTGGTTATCTTAAACGGAACTTTTTTCTGGCCCCTTCATCCTTAAAGCTTTTTCTTTATAAAACTCTAGTACGCTCTAAACTTGAATATGCAGCTTCCATCTGGGATCCCGATACCACCTACCATAGTGACCTAATCGAATCCATTCAGAATAAATCCGCACGTTTTATACTAACTAATTACAACCGTACCGCAAGTGTGACATCAATGAAGAAGATTTTACTTTTACCCAGCCTCGCACATCGCCGTGAAATTTCTAGCATTTGTCTTTTTCACAAAATATTCCACCACAACCCGGTACTCAGAAATCAGCTATTAACCCCACCATCCTTCGTTTCAGAACGTCTAGATCATCAGCACAAAGTAGGAGTTCCATCTTGCCGTTATAACAAATATTTTAACTCATTTATCCCGAGAGTCACAAAACAATGGAACCAGTTACCTCCATTCCTTGGATCTATTGTTGATTGTGACCTTTTTCGCACAAGTGTTAGTAACAATGTTTTTCCTATTACTTAACTCATGTTTCACTGTTGTTTCATGCTGAATTTGCTTTGTTTGTTTTTCCCGCTCCCCTCTGTAATGCCTCTGGCCCTGAGGGTAAAATAAATAAATAAATTATCTTTCTTTTGCTCTTTTTTTTTTATTCACGTTTATCCCTATCGAAAGAAAAAGAACGTGTACCTGCGCGTGTCACTGTGCGCGCGTGGAAGTTTCAGTAACACTTCAATTGTTAGTCAGCGTATGTCTTGTGTCCGTCTTTTACTTTGTGTCCCGCCTTTTTTGCGCTGTTTTTCACTATAGGCAGTATTCACTGGCGACCATAGCTGTGTGCGTGAATGCTGAGCGCGTGCTGAAGGCGAGCTTCCACAGTTCTTTAGCAACGTGCATTCCGCACCGTCAAAAGTGCCAGTCTTAGCAGCCTATTGATGTGAGCTCGTTCTGAGCATGCGCCCTAACCAGCACCCACAAATATGGCGTCCAGTGAATACTCCCTATTGGCGGCGAGATATTTTGGTGGCGCCCTCCTATGGTTACCTTTCGTGACGTCATTACCTTGTGAACAACAAGTTTGAAGGTGTTAGTAAAGAGCTTGGTGGAAGCTTGAAATCATAGATAGCACTCTCAAACCAACACTGCCAACACCGTCAAAATTAAAGTTCTTCCATTCCTCTTATTTTCGTCGATGGGAAGTCCTTTGCTGACGTCATAGTCAGTATTCGGCCTATCGTGGAAGACCGATCACAGCGACGCTTCCGATTGCTCACTTCGCCAATAGGCTGGTTCATACAGAACCGTTTTTTAAGTTACGTTACGTTACGAAAAGTCACCGGGAAATATGTGCTTCGTATTAATTAAGCGTGGCTACCAATAGACCGATCTCACCAAGCGTTTGGCGCATGCGTGACGCCGCCATAACTTTAGTTCCCGCAGGAGGCAAACGGCAGGGCACGCGAGGGCTCGTGCCGTCTCGTGCTCTACACGCGCAGAGCTCCAGCAAGTTTTTCGCACATGCAGAAAGACTAAAGTTTCCTTGACGCATTGCGGCAGCGGTGGCGAAGTCAAACTGGCTGGTGAGATCGGTCTATTCAAGGAGACGGCCTGACAAGCGAGAGAGAGAGAAAATCACTTTAATTAGAGCACAGATTAAGTACCCAAGATATCCTCCGCCTGAAGTACCAGGGCGAGCTGATCTTCCAGTTGCGGCGACGCCAACCATGCACTCCAGGAGGGTGGTGGGGGGTTAGGAAGAAATGAGGTGGTGTAGGCGACCGGGCAATGAAGGAGACAATGTTCTTGATTGGCATAGGGAGCTGGGCAGTTGGGACAGGAAGGGTCTGATCGATAGCGGAAGAGGTAAAGGCGAGCAGGTGTGACGAGGGTGTTTGTCTGGATTTTACGGAGAATGTGGGTCTGCGCGACACTAAGCTGTGGATGTGGTCGAGGTAGAAGTTCATGAGATATACGGATCTGTTTGTAATGTAACTTGAGTGTTTTTTTGTACTCTGCTGCCTCGTCATTGGTCGGGGGGCTTAGCCAGGGGATTGCAGGTGCCCGGCTGTGAAATTCGCGGGCGAGCTGATGTACCAGCTCATTACCTGCTATCCCTGCATGACCAGGGACCCATCGAATCGTGACCGAGGATGAGGAGAGAGAGTGTAGGGCCATTTCAAGGTCCTCTCGAAGATCGACAGGAATTTGTCTCTGTTGCAAGGAGCGCATAGCAGCCATAGAATCAGAGTAGACAGTGTAAGCGGACGTGCGCGGCAATTGGGAGAATGATATGATGGCATGGATAATGGGGACAAGTTCTAACGTGGTGATTGACGGGGGGTCGCTGTATGGACCGCACGTGTGAAGAATAGGTAAGGAATGTTTAGCGAAACTTTACCTTGGTTTCTCCCGTAGAGACTGCGCACGTGCTACCGCAGAAGACTCGCACATTTGCAGTTCATATCGGAGGGCCAATCGTACCTGAAGGATGTACAAAAACAGTTCCTTCAAAAACTCTATCTATTTATGTCATTACTCGCACCTACTCTATCTCTCGGTTGCCACGTCGGTCATGCGCCAGGCTAGGTGGCGCAAGCTGCCGCCCGTTACAAAGTGTGCAGCCATTAACATCCGTCCATTCATCCAGGCTAAGCGTTTACAGACGATTAACGCGACTAGAACACTCAGTTGGGAAACTCGCCGTTGAAACCTGGGCCGCTGCCGTCCACAGAGACCGAGCTAAATACGATAACAGGGCCACCCTTTAGCGATGAGTTAAAACATGAAAGTTATTTTACATGGCTACTGCTAGAGTAACTGAATGTTCATAGAGCACGGAAACTCGATCCCAGGCTTAAAATGCCAAAATAACTGCTCAATCTTTTTTTTCTTTTTTTTTTTACAGTGGCCACTTTAAGCTTTTACAAAGCATGTTTTTGCGTAAAAACAAACGAAAAAAACTCTTTTTGTAGTAGCTTTTATTGGAGCTTAGTACAAAATGACGGATGGAAGAGCGCAGATATAGACACACTCACAGGTACACAAGAAAGAAACGGACTTGCAGCGCTGACTAACAACTCGGTAAACATTGATAGATAATAAATAAAAAATAAAGGACAACTAAAAAAATTGAAAATAAATTCAGGGGGATCGGTGGCTGAGTGGGCTAGCGCACACCAGCTCGGAGCACGTAGAGCGAAAGCTTGCTCTGCAGATCCCAGGGATCCTGGGTTCAATCCCCGCCCCTGCCCATTTCAATCTGGATGAGCATCGTACCGGCGTGCGGTCGTACTGCGTGATGCACGTTAAAGACCCCAGGCTAGCGGATGTACTGCACTGGCTAAATGACTCATTGACAGCTGGGAGACTCGTCGCCTGTTGAGGCAGACCAAGTTCTAGGCTGTATAAACATGCACACAACCCAATTTTTTTTTCGGCCACCGCAGCGAGAAAACAGTTACTGCTCGTTTCTTGATTATAATACATGGTAGGTACCTCAGTCACCTTAGTCTACCTTTAACCCTGTTATGGTGTTTGTCTTTACATTTTTAACGTTTCTTGATTACAACAGACCGCACTTCAGTCTCCCTTGACTAATTTGCGCCTTGCCATGAGGTGTGTTTTCACACACAGAAACACATGACATGTAGATAATGCAGTTAAATGCAAAGGTGAGAGCGAGCTGGAAAAGAATGACGAAAATAATCCCTGGAGGACAAACATAAATCTCCAAACACGGCTAGGTGACTGGTTCGTCGCCGAAAAAATCCGCCTGGTCCTGGCGGATTTTTTCGTTGGTTCCTGGTTCGAGACCAGGACTAGGCGGATTTTTTCGGTCGCGCACCAGTCACCTAGCTCTGTTTGGAGATTTGTGTTTGCCCTTTGTCCCCCTTGTTCCCCTTCTCCAGGAATTAGTTTCGTTACATTAAATGTGCTTTTTAACGCATATAGCGGTTCTTGATAACAATTGATAGTGCTTCAGTCTCCTTTGACCCCTTTTGAATCTGTCATGGAGTGCTTTAACAAACGCACAAAAAAATTGTAATTGTTAGTTTTAGCAGGTTTAACGTTTCTCGATTACAATTGATCATACTTCACTCTCCTTTGGCTGCTGTTTACCCTGCCATTTTTTTTTCAAAATTTGTAAGCCCTTATCGCGGCAGAAAACGAAGCTTCTGGTACTTTGGAGAACTAAAAGCTCCGGAGTCTACTGTGAGGTCGATTGTTTTGCCATCTTCAGGAAGTACGGTGAACTTCTGCAGGATGCCAGTGGTGAAAAGAAAAATTTCCACTGGAGCCAGTGCTTCACCAGGACACATCCTTTTTCCTGTGCGAAGCATAAAATTATCAATTGTAAAACACTGCTTACTGGAATGATGTAAAAAATCTGAAGCCTTTACTCTCCAGCAAACCAATTAAAGGTGCCAGTCGCCGCAATCTACAGAGGGTGAACGGCGACAGACCAATCTTAGAATACGTCTAGTCATTATAAAGGTGCCTTTTTCAACCACAATTAGCGAAGTGAAAGCGATAGGTGTAGTGCGTTTGCGCGAGGGGGCAAAATTGTGTCGCCACGTACGTAAGGACGGCACATGATGGCGCCATTTTGCTCGCATGCTACAGCTATCTCATTTAAATCGCACACTGAGGGGAAAACGTGCGCCGACGCAAGCGAAGCCGCAGGTCTTCCCGTTGTTGTTGAGCGATGAAGGGAGGGAGCAACGTTCACGTTCAGCGATGAGCGGGGAGGGGGACGCATGCAAAGTGACGATGCGAAGCTCTTCAAGCAGGCGTGTGCAAGGCGACGAGTTTTGGCATAAGATATTTTACGTTTCGAGTTGCGTTCGACAAGACGAGATGTTATAGTCAAAGCGAGTGCGGTGGCAGTTCATAAGACCCTCCAACATTACGCGTAGCAACTGGATACTGCCAAAGCAGGATTTCGTATAACGCGAGTAATGTTTGAAATTGCCCGTTTTTAAATAATCTATAGCAGACGGCAGGGGAAGACGCTTCGCTGACGCTTCCTCGTCGTCGCGCCGTTATTGGGCGCGTGCAGTAGCGGCTCCCTCACCTCCGAACGGAGTAATTCGAGTCACAGTTCTCAGAGCGTCTACTGAGCGGCTCAAAAGTGCGGCTCTTCAACTACTCTGCGCAGCTTTCACTTCCTATCTTGACGGTCTCCGGATAAAATGGAAGCAGACGCTGCCGAGCACGATCGCTTTTATTTGACGTCGGTATCGAAGAAGTCTCGACAAGGACGTCGGAGGAAAAGCGGGTGACTGTAGACTTTAGCGCATCTGTTCGAAGCGATTCAAAGCGATCGAGCCCATCGCATGGGCGGTGCAAAGGTTGCTGCTCTTATAAAAACCGACAAAAACGTCGTCAATACAGCCACGCTATGGAGCTCGGTGAACCTACGCCGCCGGTTACGAAACCTTCATACCACCGCAAGTTGGTTCTGCACTGATTTAGCATATCCAAAACAAGACAAAAAACGATCCAATATATTTTGCGAAAAGAGCCTGAGCAGGTAACGAAATTTGAACGCGTTATTCGTCCTACCTCGGGCGCTTTTCCTTAACAAAAACGAGCAAACCGCAACCCCACGCCGGAACCGACGCAACATCTCGCGCCAGGATTTTTTTTTTTTTTTTTTTTTTAGCATTGGATTTTGTAGTTTGCAGTCTGGCAATACGTCATATTTGCTCTTTAGCTCCTCGTGCACTGTCACCAGACTCGGTGCACAGCAGCTCGACTCCGAGAACTCGGAGTCATGTGCACCGGATGGCGTTCTTTCTTGCCGGCTTGTGGAAGGAGCACTAGCTCCGTAGCTTTTAGAGCCACTACTGAACGCGCGCTCATTGCCGGGTCCGTGGGGGCTCTCCTCTCTTCGAAAGGAGCGGGCGATGGGGACACCCGACTTCGCTCTGCTTGCGCCATGAATGGAGAGAAGAAGGGGTTTTCGCATCTTTGCAGCGACGACAGAAAACAAACACCGACACCGAAATACCTGCAAAGTGTCGCCAATAAAGCAATTGCTTTAAAACCTGTCAGCTCTGTGACACTGAGCGTGGTAAAACGCCATGTCACGGCGCAAACTCTATTTTTATGCCTCAAAACATTATAAGTCATTCGCCTAGTGCCCTTGTACATTGGACCGACTAGCTTTTCAAAGTGGTTCGTGGGAAAGTGGCGGCTGCAGATATCCTAGGATGTACACCAGTTGGCATGCCACTTTGGAAACCAAGGCACTTGCAGGTTATTACGTTATTGGTTTTCTCCGGGGTATAGTTATCTGCCTCTATTTTAGCTGCATACGGCGAAGATGTCATGGGTATTAACCGACACGCACGTTAAGACTAAAAGGAAAACAATTTTAAGATATTTCGGCACAAGACAAATTATAGCATATTACCGCACGTCCTCTTCGAGCTGGTGCAAAGTATTTAAATAGAAATTATTTTAGTTCAGTCAATTTGGCCACGGTGATAGCAACACCACCGACCTTAAGGAAAACCAATAGAAATGTCACATAAGATGATTGAAGCCTGAGACTATGGTTTGAAAAGCGGAAACTTGTGAAGGAGGAAAAAAAAAAGGTACAGACAACGTCTCAAACTCGGATACACACTTTATTATCTCTACGCGTCATACAACCCTCCCCCAAACGTCGCCACCACCTCAAAATGATCACTGAACCGCAAAAAATACACTAGAACCACAGTACTCCGAGCCGCAAACAATACACCATGGTCCAAAACAGGAAACAGAAACACAAGGTCGTCACGTTCGGTGGAGGGGTTATAAGACGTAGAGACAATAAAGTTTGGAGCTCAGTTTGAGATGTTGCCTGTCCCTTTGTCTTTCTCCTTCTCGAGTTTCTGTTTTTCAAACCACAGTCTCAGGTTTCAATCATCACGTATAACTTACACCAGCTCGCCCGCACTACAACCGCTTTTTCAGAGAAAGCCAGACCAACCACAATTGTTTAGTTGGAATAGGGCAGCTTGTGTTAGCTCGAATGTATTTATGTACGTTGATTTACGTTGATGGACGTTTTCGATAATTAAACTTCCAAAAATATTTTTCTACCGGTGTTCGCTAGCAGTCCTTCAGACGATATTTAAGAAATGTCATAAAAGAAACGCATGGCTTGTTAAGTCAGTTTTTATAAACACAACAATCATCGTTTTTGTAACCTCTATAGTGTTTAAATTAATTGATCGTCACGTCTGTAAACGCTAAAGTTGAGTAAATAAATATAATTGTAGTCAGTGTTGTGGCTTACCAACAGAAAATGGAATAAAGTAGTCCAGTTTAGGGCGCAGTTTGGAGCCCCCTTGTTCAATAAATCGCTCTGGTCTGAAGGTTTCAGGATCGTCCCAAAGATCAGCATTCATGTTCACGGCCCATATATTTGCCATCATAATTGTACCTTTTGGAATTACGTAGCCAGCCAACTCCACATCTTTGTCTGTTCTGAAACGATCAAACGGAATATGGTTAGCGTGATTAGTGATAATATTGATGGTTTTACATGTCTGTTAACCTTTGAACGTGAAGCACAATCTTGCTACACAACTTCTTAGTTATTAATGTCAGCATGACCAGGTATTTTAAAAACTTACACCGTAAGAAATCTAAACGTCCCCTATTGAAGCTCCAGAAATTGTTCTCTGCATAATTTCTAAGGAAGAAACACCGCAAAAACGTCAACAACAAAGGGAAAATCTTCACTCTCACTTACATATTGCCATAAAACATGTGTTTAAATATTAGAAGATTCAAGCTGCCCCGAGTTATTCGACATAGCTATTTTGAAAGTTATGGAACGAGCCTTCAAATATCAAATAATATTACAGTCAAACTGTTTGTGGCTATGGTTCTGTGGATTTTTCATGTGTGTCAACAAAAACTCGGGTCCCGAATATGATGCAAAATCGCTTCATTCACTGCTAACGCTTACACGTCTCATCACTTGGTATCCATTTTCAGTAGATTAATTATCCATAGGCACAGTTTTCACGATCGGCAGGCTCTCAGGTGAGAAAAGAAAGGTTTCTCAAAGATTTGCATCGGCGCGACCAATGTCGGCCATGTCTACGCTCGCACCGCCCTGTTTGTCGTCGTTCCAAGCCCTTGCGTGCCTAGTTTCCTTTCCTGCCGCTCTCCCGGGGTGGCGGTTCCGTCGCGTGTTTCTACTTTCTGCCGGGTGGCGGTCCCGTCGCGCATGTCTAGTTTCCGCCGGCTCCTCGGGGCGGCTCTGTGTCGTGTGCTAAACAGCTTCGCTGGTCATCCACCTTTACAGAGGGGAATGGCTTATGATTTTTTACAGCTATTCATTGCGATGGGCGACAATATATGCCGGGTATAAATTTGTTCAGAATCAGTATTTTTGTATTTGATGTTAAATATTTCGAATATTACATGAATGTAAAACAAGTTCGTTCAAAATAAAATAAAAAAGGTAACATAGTTACGCTCTAGGGAGTGTCAGTGGAAGAATGGGCCTCCATCGCTGCATCTCCCAGATGGTTGCCATGGTGAAGGGCATTTGGTAGCGGTCTTCCCACATAGGCTGCCGTTCTCGACCGACAACTCTGTCGATTTCTTGCTGAATCTTTGCCTGCACGTTACCAGGCTTGTCAGCACAGGTGACCAGAATCCATGCCAAACTCCGCTGGATAGCGTTTGTGCCCGCTCCTAAGAACGTTTGAATGTTACCGGGAACGTAGGCACCTGCAAATTAGTTGAAATAGGTATCGGGAAGGGGTCCCCACAGCATCAAGGCCCACTTAAACGACTGATTTAGTAAGCTGAGCGATTTGTATTAGGCAAACCGAAATGGTGGAGGAAAAATACAACGTCGATTGAAAGAGAAAGATTCTTCGGAAGCTATTTTGCTAAAACCATAAATGAAACAAGCGCCGCCAGTCATGCAAACAGATTGATAGGGCAAATATAAAAAAAAAAGATGAAAACTTATTTTGTATATTCGTGATTAGTAACAAACACAGTATGCTGCAGACGTGTTTTCTTCTGCTTTTATATAGCCTAGTAATCCACGCTAATCTTTTTTTTTTTTGTGGTTTAGAAAAACGTTGCGTATATCAATATAAGTTCTTTCCTTGTTTTCGGTTTAGTCTGTCGCTTATTTTGACTGAAGAAATACATCTTCTGAATCAAGGCGTGTTAGATGTCGCTGAATATGATGATTTATTTTGGGTGACTTAGCCATTTTACGTATATCAAATGCAGTAAGAGAGCTTTTAGACGAACTTCACACGAGGGCGTCTTCACGTCTAAATGTGCCGTTCGCAATCGCCTTAAAGTTTGTATATCTTACGATGGTTAACATAAAACACTTCGCGTTAAAGGAAAACTGAAGCGGATATCTGTTTGAGAAAACAAACTTCAATCGTCTTCAATTGGCCTCCGGGATCACGAATGTCGAAATTTTTTTTTCAGTTTGGTAAAGGGAGGCTGCAGGCAATTATTTTCAAAGTACCGCTGAAGCCCCTCCTTCCCGGAGCGTGACGTCACATCAGGAGTTTTCGGGATCTCTGGCCGCGTGCATCTACAGCGCCTATCAAAGCTATGCACGCGAACTCTTACTGTTTGAGAAAAAAAGGCTAGAAAAAATGACGTCACGACTGGTGTCAATGCGGGGAATATACCTAGCAAGCTTGCAATTGCACGCGCTGCTCACACGAGCTACACGCGCTTGGCGGCCGAAGGAGCATCTTATGACGCAACGACTGGCAGGAGGTTTTTCGCGCTTTTTTCGCGTTGAGTTACATCTTTAAGGAAAGCGAACGTCATAATTTGGTTCACGGGGAAAAAAATACACCAGAATTCACTTCTAACTAGTTTTTTTTTTTTTTTCAAAAACCTCTTCAGATAAAAAGATATGGATGCACGTTGTGCACTTCACAGCTTTGACCACAAGTGACTACTTGTTACTTTTTCCGTTGCTTTATTAGTGGTAAACCAATCCTTACTCTGGATTATAGTGGCGCCAGTTTTGGCACCACTTTCATCACGGTATTTTCTTGCATTTGAAATGTGTAAAGTCGACCTAAAGTTATCAATAGGACAATTCAGATTGCAAGACGTTTTATTACATTTTCTGGAAACACATTTACTTTGTATATATATATATATATGTATGGCAAATGTAGACCAATTAAAAATTTCCGTTAAGTATATGAACGTCTGAAAACTGCGCCATATCTAGAGCAACGATACACTTCCCGTTAAGTATATAAATATCTAACATGCGTAGCATATGTCTAACAACAGAGCTTGAATTTGTATTTCTTGTCAAAGTTTAGGTTTATAGCAGAAGATTGGTAATATCGCCTTTTGCAATAAAAGCCTATTTTTTTATGTTATTCCCTTCGCTTTTCGATAGAACTTTGTTTGATGTTGCTTTCATATATTGTCTGGCATTATACACAGTAGTATATCAAAGCAATGTCGCAAAGGACCAACATGGAGGTAATCATTAAAATGATGTAACGCGCTCGTCCTATCGCTGGGTGGCATGGTAAAACGGGCCTTGAGGAATAAAACTTAAATTATAAGAAAGACATTTAATTACGTGTACGCACTCTGTATGTGTGAACCAGGGTTTTCTAAGCGTTGTTCTGCGTGCTCAAAGTAGCAATCGATGTAGTCTTGATTGCGATCACTCAAATCCATTTTCTCGTGTTTCTGAACTTGCTTCCTGTTCAGGACAAAAGCCAAAAAAAAACGGCAATTTCAGAGGTTTAGTTTAGAAGTACATGGTGTGCGACCAACATGCGGTCCAACTGAACTCTAACGTTCTAATATTGTACAAAGCTTTTCAATTAGATTTTTGTTCACTTCTGGGATATTTTTTTTATGCGACTGTCATCAATCTCACGGTCCAGAATACAATCCTACAACTAGCTCCAACCAAAAATGAAGTGACGTCTTTGAAAACAAAATGCTCCAAAAGGCGCAACAAAAGTTATTACAAATTATTACAGTTCGCGCTATGACCGTTTTAGTGCTCACCACTAGACAATCTCCGCGAAGAAAGAACATTACCAAGGCACCCTATTTTCCGGACAACAGTCCATTGAATATACGTGATGATAAGTGTACTCTATTTCTGTGCGCTATCGAGAGGTGTGGATCGTACAAGCACTTATATTTCAATATAGCTCGCTATAGGTGGGGTTGCGAAAATTATGCTGTTTTATACTGTGCATCACACTAAACAAATTCGGAGTTTCCATTCATTGTTTCTGACCTCGACGCCCCGGCAGGTGACTCGCAAGCAGACTTTTACGTAACGGGTTAGATTGATTATTTGTAATCAATAATATTTTATTGTAAATTTTTAACGATTCAATTACTTCTTCTTAGGTAACGTTCGTTGTACTTTAATTACAATATTTTATAAATTACAAATAATCAATTATATGTTTCCATAAGAGCGAAAATAATTGAGTTTAGTTTTTTTACGTAAAAATAGCTCTGTGTACCCGTGCGTCACTCGTCTATGTTGAATCAACGTTGGACACTTTTTTATTCCTAAAAACTAAACAAATGCACCAAGACATCAAAAGGATCCGAATGTCAAAGCATGCTAAGCGACGTTTTGACTGCCAAATCGTCGAAAGTGTCTCATTTCCTGTAATGCGAAAGTAACGTAAAAAGGAATAAATTACTTTTTGGTCATGTTTGAACTACTTTTGTGATGCAGTAATTGATTAACGTAATCAGTCACATTTTTCAAAAAAATATTTGCAATTGTAATGGGTTACTTTTTCAGAAACTCGTACAAGACTGCGCGCAAAGGATCTGCGCCCAATCATACAATGTGAATGAAGATTAATATTTATGGCACAAAAACCATTGCTTGCAATTTTGAAGATATCATTACTACCGGCAAATAGGTGCCGGAAGTCTTTCAAGGTCTACATTTGTAATGCCTCCAAAGTAAAGAATGTGTTCAGACACATTTTCGCTTTTTTAAACAATTCGAATTTTATATACATAAAAAAAAAAATATTAACTTTGCGAATAACACGAATTTGCATTCGGATTGCTCTTCAGTCAGCTTGGACTTGTTTTGCTGTTTCTTGGTAGGACAATTTAAGGTTCATAAGTTTTAACAGGATTACGATATGAATGAATGAAGCCCCAAGTGCGGATCATGCACCACGTGCGAACTACTAAAGGACATAATTTTTTTGTGCATCTGCCAGCTATTGATCGGGTGGAGACTATCTAAAGGAAACCGCCTTTTTGAGCGAATATTTGCCTCTGCGGGCTATGCGCCGGGTGAAACGACAGTCCAGAAAATGTGATAGGTGCTGTTAGCTGTTCTGCTAGACAGAAACATAAAGTACAAAAAGGGGGTCACATATAACTGACTAACTAACCGCTCAAGTATAATTTCCACATTATTTCCTCCACTTGTGATACTTTGAATAGTCAATATCTTTTCGTGATATATACCTTTATATTATAAAATGCCCCGCATTATAAACAATTGCACGCCTTTTAACACTTCACAGACAAGTGGTTTTAAAATCAGAAAAAAAAAACAAAAAAAAAAACGTTGCTAAAGTATGCCGACGCCAAAGAAGGGAAAGCGTGTGGCAATTTATCTTGAGCAAGCAGGGCATTAATAAACGTTTACTTAAAATATTGCGTGTGCGGACCTGACGTATGTAAAAACCATTATTAAAAAAAAACATTCCGGGAAAACATTTATTTGACATGAACAAGGGCATGCACTAGATCGGATGTAGTATTATCCTACGGTTGTAAGTGATTTATTGGATTCCTTTGTGGCCTGTCTAATGAGTAAAAAGAGCCGATATATTAGCGCTGGCTGCGTGCAATCCTTGATATCATTTTCAGTCATGACATTGTTTGCTTAAATACGGGTTAACGGCTGTCGGAGGAGGGGTGCTTGACTAGCGCCAACAAAACCACTTGACTTATTTTGCTAAACAAATCTACCTATGTTTAGGGAACGCAAAAACATTTATATATGTGTTTATGTACATCCCCGGTCATTCTGACCAAGTGGCGGTGGATATACGCTTGAGAAAGCGTCTTGCGAACTGTTATCTCTCCCTCTCTCCGCTTTCTCTCTCTCTCTCTCTCTCTATAATAATATATATATATATATATATATATATATATATATATTATGCCGACATGTGCCATGATTTCAGGCGCAGATGTTTGCACCAAGGTCGCTCTATGACCAGGATCTCGCTTTTGACGAGAGGGCAGCTGTGAGCCGATTTTGCTGCGTGTTCAGCGCAAACAACGGCTTGATCATCGTTCTTTTTTACGTCGTATCTGTGTCGGCGGATGCGTTCCTGAATGTTATTTTTTGTTTCCGCAGGCATGCTACGGTGCAGTCTCCGCACGGGGTACGTCTGATGAGGCCTTGATATTACCCTTTTTCTGTTTGTCCTCGGGGAGAGGAAGTCGATAGTTCATGATGAACAAAAGCGACGTAAAATAGTACAACGTTGAAGCAAGTGCCTTCTCTGAACAGCCAGCAAAATTTGGTAAACTCTTCTTCGACAAAAGCCAATCCTGGGCACAGAGCAAAACTGGCAGAAACGTCTGCGGCTGAAATCCCTGGTACATTCAGAAAACAAAAAATATGAGCTGGTCGCCGTACACTTTCTTATGTGTGTACTTTCCGCAACATTGGGACATGGTGGAAACATCCGGGCGCAGCCATCAGAGCCAACCTAGATACGTAGCAATCCCCTCCGTCCAAACCATTCCTTCATAAAAAAAATTAATCGAGTTGGTTCTCCAACGTTAGAAATTTCGAGTTTATTAAAACTCTTTTTACAGTTTTAACTCTCAATTAGTTTATTATCCCACTAGGCAGGTCTCTGCCGAGGAGGCTTACTTTTAAAACACGAATATGGTTCCAAATTACGCGCTTTTTGAAATTTCTTGTGTTCTTTTTAAAGGCTTAAGTTCTTATCGAATAGTTAATTGGAAAATGTATTAGATCATATTTACAACATTATGTATAGCGATAATTGTATAATCAAACAAACACCAGACCAAGTTACGAATTTCCAGTTTGGAGTTTGTAGACGCACCCGCAGCATTTATTGCAAACGAAGCTAGCGGTTAAAAAATCTTTATCATCAAAATACTTTTCTTTTTTTTCCATCAATGACATAGTCGCCATGGAGGTTTTATGAAGCAAGCTGCCTCAGATAACAGCAAAATGTATGTTTACGCTGCGATTGTTGCGCGTACTTTAACTCATCTCTTTCAAGTTTTTACTGCAGAAAAGCTGACGTTTGTGGAGGCCTTCACGGTACCGTATAAATCCAAGGAGACCACCAAACGCCTTCTTGAAACTGTAGATCCTTGTGAAAGGCATCAAGCCTGCAATTTCGAACATCCAGTTTGGCAGGAACACCACGAGAGATCCTGTACAAACGACCCAGTCTGCCAAAAGGAGTAACTTGTTGAGAGCTGCACGTGCGGGATGATCGTGTGGGTGCCGGGTGCCGAAGAAAAGGCTGGTGAACACGTTGGAAGTGCTTGTAACAATTTCCATCCTGGCGATAATTGGTTTTCCATTCATAGCAGCAAGCCTTTCAGTTAGGCGACTCACTTCATCCTGCGTCAAGACAACGTGACAGAAACCAGAGAGCAATAAAATAATTAGAGTAGTGAATAAAATTTCCTTTAGAGGTACATTATCTCATGACGTGGGATATCCTTCAGCTGAGACAGATTATGCGGTGCAATGCACGTACTTTGGCCAGAGGCACTTTAGTTTAAGAGAGAATATGTAAATAAATATTCACGTCTTCCCTTACCCAACAAATGTGGGCTTTACCAATGTGAATCCACCAAGACCGCCTAAAATTGCTTCATAATTTCATTTTCTCTTGTTGCGGATTGTTGATGTTCATTTTTTTAAAGGCAAATGCATTTATTGCACGCGTGTGCGACAGGTGAGGATCTCAAGATTGAAACCTGCACTAATATATAGGTATTATAACTTTAAAAATTATAATTTTTTTTTTTCATTTAAATACCGAGAACCTCGTTCACCGAGAATTTAAAATAAAAACCTCAAATCGTAGCGAACGGCTTGGCTAAAAAGGTGCAGAATAAAGAGCTATGCCGTCTCCCGTAGGGCATGATTACGACATTGTGGTATCGAGACAGCCAAAAAGGTAACTGCGCCGCCCGAATTCAGAAGGCGTGTTGGTACGTGTGAGCTCATAATTCAGAAAAACCAGAAAACTAAACTTACGCACGTAAACAAAGAGTTTTGCGTACCTTGATAACTTCTTCGAGGGTTGTCTTTCCAAAACCGAGGTTCCGCAATATGTTCATGCTTAGCTGACGATTCTCACGCCAAGCTGGACCATTCAAGGTTCCCACACCTTAAAAATCAATATAAGTAAGCACATTTTGTAGCATCTAAAAGAGGAATACAATTTTGTGCATTTCATCACAATTACCTGGAAATCCAGTCAGCTCCAAGAACAGGCTTCTAATTCGTGACTGTACTGCACTGTTGGTGAATGCCGATTTGATCAACTGGTAGTCATTGATTGCTACGATGCTGACTGTTCCTATGTTGATTCTACATGGGAGAAATGTACACGAGCTTTGACTGTAAGGGTAGTTTGCTGAAAATACGTTATGACAGTTTAACGTATTTTTGAAGCATTGTAAAGTTTTGAACACTTCCTATTTTGTGGCATTTCAATCATTTTTTTTTAGCTCACAGAAAGCGTTGCAGTTAGCACGAACAAAGTATAGGACTGATTTTTGTCGCTCAGTTAGAACTCGAGGGCTTCTGTTCGCCTTGTGCAATGTGCTCAGTGTTGTCACCAACTAAGGAGGTTAACGTTAGCGTTCGTCTGTACACGTTAAGGTAATGTAAATTTAAAAAAAAAACCAAAAAAAAAAAACCCGTCGGTATCGTGTTCGCGCTTTTTCCATCGTGCAGTGCATCTATGTATGCATTTGGCTATGGGTGAACAAATAAGAATGGTATAAAAGCTTCGGTTGCATTAGACGTTGCATAATGCTGAACACATCCGTGGTCGTAGAAATTCAGTCATATAAAGAAACCCTCCAGTTGTCTAAGATGTTTGGCGTCCAGAGGCTAACCAGATATTTAGCCTTCATATCAATCAACAATTTTTTTTACACCATTATGCACCGATTTTCATATGCACTGACGGCTCCCTTTGCAGTATGCGCCCTTTAGACTTAAAAAAAATATTGGTACTTTTTCAATAAATTATGACTTGTATAATAAATTAAATCATGCGCTCCTCTGGCGCACTGTAGTCGTGTTGAGACACACCTACCAACACATCAATATATTTTCAGCATCCAAGGTTCAATCAAATATCAGAAATATATAAAATTCTCAGTAATTAAATTACAGCTAAGCATTAAATTCAAAATTGCTGAAATCCGAAAATATATCTCGCACAAGAGTTAATTGTGTCCTAAAAATTCTATATTATCCGAACGCTCACACGAAAAATACGTGAAGAGATTTATTTTACTTGCAGAACATTGTTTCGAACATATTTTTATTTCATATGTAGTCGTCTGACACTCTAATTTTTGCGATTTGAATTAACTGGAAACTAGCTCGCTTGCCAGGAGCTCCGGTACTGGATGAATATATAAGAACAAATACTTGCCGAACCACTGGACCGTAGGTACGTGCCAAATCCCTAAACATGGCATGGTGGTTTCTACCTAGAAAAGGCAGGTAGCCTAGAATCGGGCATCCCGCAGGACCGGGAGGAAGTTTCGGACGTTTGAAGTCTCCAAAACGCAGCCATGCGAGGTATGCGATGAGAACGAGGATTGCACCGGTGAAAAAGAAACAAAGGGTGTCCATTCTGGTGCATCAACTGGAAAATTATAGAAGCCGGTAGGACGTACGTTGATTACAACGTTGTTGCACGGTGGTGTATATGAGCGGTTCGTACCCGTCAACGCTGATATATTAAAGGAAACGAGGAATAGAAACAGCTGTTGAGAAAGGCAACGGAAAATTAAAACACCCGAGTATTTGCACGCATGGAAAGCCAATCTCGCTTAAATTGTGGCGCTTAAATACCTTGTTATAGTAGCCACATTGATAGAGTGATAACGGGAGCTAGGGCGTTTCAATCGAAGGACCGGCTTCCAGCAGGTTCACCACGACTTTCGCCGGGCTTTTGACGCGCTCGCATGCCCGAGGTATACAAAACGCCGAGGCCTCGCCGAAGTTAGAAACGTTGGTAGGAATTTCGGTGCTGGAGGGGGGACTTCTGAAGATTCTCCTCTTTGTCTTTGCTGTTCTCACTTTTGGGTTATTCCATGCCAAAGGAGACGGCAATTTTCCTCATATTTTGGACATGCTTGAAAAAAATATTATGAATAAAGACATATGTGAAAGTAAGGATGGCTCAGTTTGACGGTTGAATTACGTTTATTTTTGCTGACGTCATGCTCCAAAGTTCGGGGAATCGGAGAAAACTTGCATTTCGAAACACTGCTTCAAGAAAAAGCTATTTTTACCAGATATATCTTTAAGTTTGCATGCAATCGAGCACTAATATATTCTATCTTAACTTGAAATTAAAACAGCTTATGCCGCCATTTTGGGTCCAGGCAGGCACTTCGAACCTAAACACATTTTTAGGATTTATTGAC